GGGCCGGATCCGGCCCGTTTGAAATGAATAAAACTAAAAAAAAAAAGACCGTACCCTTTTATGTAATGATGTTTACTTTGAATTTATATTAGTTCACACAAACACTCCATCCATGCTTTTGTTCCGGCCCTCCGGTCCAGTTTAAGAACCCATTGTGGCCCTCGAGTCAAAAAGTTTGCCCACCCCTGGTCTAGGAGATCCGTCTGCCACCAGAACTACGATTCCCAGCATTCCTAGTGCTCCCCATGCTCTGGGCTTCTGGTCCTGGGGCTGCCACCAGAACTACTATTCCCAGAATTCCTAGTGCTCCCCACGCTCTTGGTTTTCCCTTCCTGCTCTGTCTCCATCCCATGGCCTCCCTCTCTGCCAAGTCCTCCAAGCCGCCAGCTGTCCTTCTCTGCTCTCCCTCTGGCAGCTTGGGGAGCCAAGTTCCCCAAGCCGCCACACTTTCCGCCAGCTCTCCTGCTCTGCTCTCCACCCAGCGGCTTGGGGGGAGCGACCGAGGGAGTCATGTCCCCACAAGCCGCTGGCTCTCCCGCTCTGCTCTTCGCCCGGCACTTGTGTATGCAAATTAACCCACCATCTTTGTCGGGTTAATTTGCATACTCCTGATTGGCTGGTGAGTGTAGTGGAGGGACGGTCAATTTACATGTTTCTCTTTTACTATATAGGATTTTTTCTTTTTGCCATTCTCATTGGCTATTTTTTGCTTTCTTATATTCCAAATCGCTGATTGAATCTCAGCTTCATCTACTCTATTGTTGATTCCCTATAAATTATTCTTTATTTTAATTAGTGTAGCCTTCATTTCTAAATGTTGTTGTTTTTTTTAATGCTGTTGAGGTCCTCACTAAGTTCCTTGAGCATCCTTATAACCAATGTTTTGAACTCTGCATCTAGTAGATTGCTTATCTCCATTTTGTTTAATTATTTTTCTGGAATTTTGTTCTGTTGTTTCATTTGGGCCATGTTTCTTTGTCTCCTCATTGTGGCAGCCTCCCTGTGTTTGTTTCTATGTATTAGGTAGAGCTGCTACATCTCCTAGGCTTGATAGCTTGGCCTAATATAGTAGGTGTCCTGTAGGTTCCAGAGGCACAGCCTCCTTGATCACCCCAGCTGGGCACTTGTGGTGGGCTCCCCATGTGGTCTGTACACTCTCCTATTGTAGTTGAGTCTTGATTGCTCTTGGCATGTCAATGGGAGGGATTTATCCACGCCAGTCAGCTGCAAGGACTGGCTATGACCTTCAGCCTCCTTGGAAGTTCAGCTGTGCAGGGGCCCACTACACAGAGCAGGACTTACTTCATCAGGGCTCTGATGCCCGCTGAGTCTGCCTTGAGTGTGTTTCTTATGGAGGTGGTTGGGTGGTGGTGCTTTGACGTGGTCTGAAGCTGTCAACTGGGTGTGCTGGCTCTGGAGCCTTCCAGGTGGTGCAGGCCAAGGTCATCTGCTGCCTGTGTTCTGCCCAGGGCCACCAGGCATAAGCTACAAAGCGATCTGCAGATGGCTGCTTCTTGTGTTTGAAGGTGCCCAGGCAAGGCCAACCTGTGAACCAGGTAAGGCCAGCTGCTTCT